GCCCGCTGACACCGCGTCGCATCCAACCGCAGCAATAGCAGGCCCCGAGAAACTGCCTCAAAGGGCGCGCCTGCCATTGTCAGCCGATGGGAGGGGAATATTCCCCCAGCCGATTCCTTCCAGACTAAGGAATCGGGTGCCGAGCCCGTTACGGTCCAGGGGTTCGAAGGCTGGACCCCCGAGGGTTTCGACAGCCGCCCCAGGACAATAGAGTTAGGGACAGCTATGGGCGAGCCCGTACATGGCCGAGGCCCGAGCAAGCGATCGCTCGGGATGCCCTAAGTCATGTCCGAGACCAGCGGGGAGTTCTTCGAATGGGATCCCACCGTAGGGAGGCGCCGAGCCCCAGGGGCCAATTGAACGGCCCTGGGACCCACTAGAGAAGCCCTCTGGTACTTTTGGAGTGCGTCTCTGGACCACTAGCAGACCCCTATCGAATGGGGCATGGGCCTCCACTCGGATTTACCCGATAGCAGCTCACCGGAAGTGTCACCGCTCGCGCCCACCAAGGGTAGCCTAGCATATTCCACCCCTTCTTCAGAGCGAAAAGGATACGCGAGGGTCGCATAAAAAGCCAGGGGTACTCCTGACTGCCCTCTCGCTCTGTGCGGAGGCTCGGGGGCTCTCCCTACAACTAGGCCAAGTCCTAGCGACCCAAACTCGCATTCATGGGCCCGGCAAACACGATAAAACTCCTTGCTCAACGGAGAAAAAAGCCCCTAGAGGAGTAAACCCACTCCTCCAGGGCCTCGGGGGCTACACCCGGCGGGTGCGCTCGCGCGCACCCACCGGAACCACCAAGTACAAAACACAATCCCGACGGGAGCTGCTACGAGCCAGTCTCGTCAAAACCTCAAGAGAGTGCCCGCACTCCTCCCAAGGCTCGGGGGCTACTGTCGGATACCACAAGAAGGGGTACCCTAAGCAAGAACCGAAAATATTGCTTGAGCCTTGCAAAAATCAAAGCCAAAGGACAACCACGAGGTCTCGGCAGATTCTCTGACTCACCCAAGGCTTGCGCCGAGGCCTCAGACGAAAGGCCAAAGCCCTCCGCCCCGCCGAGGCCCCGCCCCGCAAGGCCTCGGATGGGATACTAATTCTCCGGTTCACCCGAGGCTGGGCTCGGCAACAACCTCGTCACCTCCGTCCCGACCGACTCCTCTGACAAAACGTCACGTCCATTTAATGCGCCCCACTACTCCCGCAACTTTAGCCGCACGTTGGCGTAGTACAGGCAGAATGACCGACGGGATAGGGGACTGGGCGCAGTAGGGGTTACCTGCCACTGTGCTCATCACTGTGCCCCCTGCTGACACCCGTACTGCCCTGTGCTACCTAACTCCTGCGCCAAGGACAAAGTGGCATGGAGGGTCAAGTCCGGGTCCCTGTAGTCTCGGAATCAGCATGAAAGACCAACTGTTCGTCCTCCGCCTCATCCGAGACCCCCTGGCAGGGCCTCGGACGTACTATTCCTTCTCCGCCTCGGCCGAGGCCGGGCTCGTCCCGCATCCTCGTCGCCTCCGCCTCAACCGTCCCTCTGGCGAGCCGTCCCATCCGTTTAAGTGAGCCTAGTCACACCTACTACGTCAGCCACGACTGGTAGGGTACAGCAATAGGGGCATGGGACAGCGGTCAAATCTCCTTTTTACCATCCCCTACTGACGGTGCAGGGGCTACCGTGCCCTGTGGACACACGCTCCGCACTTTTCCACCTGAACTGGGTACGACGCTGACCATCAAGACCCCCGCATCATACACGGGTCACCTCCGAGGCCTCGGCAAAGCAGGCCTCAGCATGATCAGCTACAGCACCCGCCAGGCCTCGGCACTCCACCAAGTCAAGAACCCACAAGGCACGGCATGTCTCCTACAGTGGAGGCCATACTGACTAGACGTCAACAAGGACTCCCACGACCTCAACAACCTCGGGTCTGGCCAGCACGGCGCCCCAGTCAAGTATCAATCGCCATTCCCAACACCATGCTGCTACAGGACTGAACTACAGTAGGCTCCATGTGTAGCTCATTCATGTACTCCTGGCTCCCTCCTTGTGGTTATAAAAGGAAGCAGCCAGGGATAGCTCTAGGGGGCAACAAAAAACATACAAAAGAACCACGCCCTCACACACGCCCAAGCAACACTCCATAACACACGCGCTCCCAAGCTGCCTGAGAGCAACGTCTCAAGCGGCCCGCACCGTTCCACGCCGAGACCTGGGACTAGCTCCCTCTCTCACCTAGCTTGTAACCCCCTACTACAAGCACTTCGGTGCAAGGAATACAAGATCGATCTCTTAGACTGGACGTAGGGCACCAACTGCCTGAACCAGTATAAACCTTGTGTCTCTTTGCATCACCATCCGGAATTAGGGGCACACAGTTCAAATTCACTGGTTGGTTGGGGACCCCCCGGTCCGAAACAACGACACCATTAGAATCATCATCTCCCATCATGTCACATTCGGTGAATCCACTTTCCCTTTGCTAAGTAGCTCTCTTTTCCTGTTCATGAGGACTTCTCCTTCTTACATGATTTCTCTACCCAGTGTTGCTACCAATTGGCCAAGCATAACCCCTATTTCCTCTAGGTCCTTCAATCTATTCTCTTGTGACCTCATCTAGCATAGGTATGCCCTTTGATGCTGTCATCGCACTACCAGGTGTAGTGCTTGCATTAGCCTCCCTTGCACCATCGAGCTCACCCCTAGACACTAACACCATAGTACCACTTGCGGTATGGTACTTCCTGCACTGGCCTCGCGCGGCACCTTGAATGGCACCCCAGCTACCTCCAATGGTGCCTCCCACCACACATGGCCTCGCCTATGCTTCCAACGATAGCTCTGCCATGCGCAGACATGCTGCACCACCCATGACATCTGTTTCCTACTAGTGTTGTTGCTCCCATCCCTAGATGCCCTCCCTGTTCTAGATCAGCGCTTTTCTTAGGTGGACACACACCATACATAGTCAACTGTGCCCTCAACGTACTCATGTGTCAAATCATTGGGCCTCCTAAACTTCTTGCTAATGTCATTCATGTTCAGTTTATGTTCAACCAACACATCATGACCACACGAGCTAAGCGGGCTTTTTAGGTGCCTACCCTCTATACCTCGTGGCACCTCTATCCGCTATTCCATAAACACATTAGGCTGCCCTCACTAACCTAAATTGGTGAGCTACTATTGAGGAAGAACATGCTATGCTTCTGTAGAACAACCTGTGATCTTGTCCCGCGTCCGCCGTGAGCTAATGTCATCTCTAACAAATGGATTTTCAAACACAAGCAGTTCCATGTTTCACTTGAGAGACATAAGGCTCACTAGGTCCTTTGTAGTTTCACATAGTGCCCTAGTGGATTTCTCTAAGACTTTTAGGCATGTTGTCTAGCTAGCAACAGTATGCACAATTCTCTCTCTAGCATTGTGAAGAATGCCTTCCTCCATGGCACCCAATTTGAGGCTGTCTATTGTCCACCTATGAAATCCCTATATGATCTCAAGCAGGCCCCCTGTGCATGGTACAGTGGCTTCATGAAATATCTCCTATATTTGGCATTTGTGTAGGCCAAGTCCGACACATGGATGTTCTTCTATCATGAGGTTTTGATCTTGTGTGTTTGCTCCTCTATATGGGTGTCATTAATCTCACAACTTCCTCCCTTGGCTCTATGCCGGCTCACCATCATGGCTTTGCAGCATGAGTTCTCCATGAAGGATCTTAGTGAACTTCATCACTTTGTCGACATGAATGTTCAGAAGTGCTCCAATGGACTCCTTATTTCTCAGTGGCAATATATCTTGGAGATCATGGATTCTATTGGCATTACATATTGCAAATATTGCTCTACACCAATTGACACTAATCCCAAGATCTCTTCTATGGATGGTTCTCCTATTCGGGACCCCTATTGAATTCTAGAGTTTCCCTAGTGCCCTTGAGTACCTTATTTTTAGGCGACCTGACATATCCTACACCTTTCAATTGGTTTGCTTGCATATGCACAATCCATAGGAACCTCACCTCATTTCCCTCAAGCACATCTTGCACTATCTTTGTGGCACCCTTCACCTAGGGCTTCTCCTTTAATCCACATCCTAGCAAAACCGTGTGGCTTACTTCTGATATTTTTTGTGCAAGCTGTCTTTTTTTTGCGAGACCCAGTTACAGACGCAAACGCTCACATACACGAGTGCACACTCACTCCTATAAATGCACGCATGCACATCCTACCCCTATGAGCACCTCCGAAGAACTGAATTAGACCAGTAAATCTCGAGATTAACGAAGTCACCACAGGTGCATCGCAGTTGACGGGTACGTCGCCTACCACTGAAAGAATAGCACCGTTAAACCCTGGAATAAATCCAGTAAAATACGAGCACCCGTGTCAAGTCGGGGACTTGAACTCGAGTGGACAGGTTCCTCCACAAGGAACCCAACCAGCTGAGCTATATGAACAATCTTGTAACATTTTGCTGTTGCTATTGTTATTTACTACCATGAGCTATGTGAGGTAGATCCTACTCAACAACTTTCTCTGCAAACTAGTGACCCTAGTACTCCCTTTGTCCCCAAAAGAATGCAATTCTAGATTTGTCATAAGTCAAACCATTTTAATTTGGACCATTTTATATAGAAAAGTACCGATATTTATGATACCAAGTAAGCACTATTGGACTAATCATGAAATATATTTTCATGGTATACCTATTTGGTTTCATAAATTGTTGATATCTCTATAGACTAGGTCAAAATTAAGGGTTTGACTTAGGACAAACCTAGAAGCCTAGAATTGCTTATTTTTTGGATGGGGAGGGAGTACTTGGTATTGCTTTGTGTTCCCCACTTTTCAGAAAGTGCAATCTACTGATGAGATAGAATGTTCTCATCTAAATTAGGTGTGTGGAGCAAGATAAGGCTATAAGACAACGTCTTTACTGGGCTGATGGCACAATCAAGAGGCGTACAAGATCATCTATAACTGAGAAATCCGAAATGTGTCAAATTGTTCAAGCTTTAGTGGACAAGTATAATGAGGATCATAATCTTTTGGAGGTTTGCTCTCCCTTCTACCCTCATTGTGTGTCCTGTTACCATTGTTGCGCTGTGTCTTATTGCCTTGTTAATGTAACAATTGCTGATCTGACCCATGCTTCTTATTTCAGGATCTTGCACACGAATTCAAAGACGTTCTACACTACAAGTCAATTTTTGAGAACCTGAAATGTTACTATCATCTAAATTTGACTACAAAGATTAAAGGGGCTGGTCCAAATGAATGTAGCATGGACAATCTTTTCTTTGTGGAAGTGAAATGTATGCCACAAGGAAAGCTTAAAGAACTGCTTGTTAACCGTTTCTGCACAGTTAATCTGAATGACAATGGTATTATATACTCTTTATCTTAAATTAAGTACTGTTCAAATTCAGTTATTTGGTCGCGCTAACTTCAACTTATCTACCTGTAATTGTAATGTATCTCTGGCTGTAGCATATGATCTTTATGGTGTTGACCTGTTTGTTTGCCCCTGTTCCATGTGTGCCACCTTCATTGTCCTGGAGCTTTTTATTATTTATAATATCAAACTGGTTAATGCACACCAGTGATTGCATAATGACTTTTTATTACCTTTAACATTATTGTGTGTTTGTGCTTGGTTGGTTCCTTTGCAGTTAACTCTTTTTCTTTTGTTAATAAAGGTCACTGCTATGGTTGCACCAGATATGGAGATGTTGGTATGAAGCACCCTAGCAGTTCTGTTGGATACACTGCTGGTCACTTGAATGTGGGTTTGCCATTTGGATACTTTGCAAAGTGGAAGAGGGACTATGAGGATGAGGAGGATGATGATAAATATGTATGATGATTTATTTCCTGGGAAGCCTTTCAGTCTTTCAACATTCTTGTTGCTTCAGTTTCAATTACACGTGGTCACCCCCACTTTTACAGGTGAAAGCTAGGGAAGCTGAGCTAAGGCAGATGTTCAAGGTAACGCGTCATATCTTGTGCTGTATGGTACCATTTGTACTAAGATATTTTCGTTTCTGGATTGATTCTAGTTCCCTACTTTTGTATTTATTGTCCTTAGGGCCTTGATAAGCCAGGTGTCATGAAGAAACTATGCACTCCCCCTCCGTGGGCAACTAAAAGAAAAGCGCTGGAGTGAAACATCACAGTCCATTGCACTTTCTTGTGTCTGAATATATATTTCACAAGCAATAGCCCTTTTAATAATTATGTTATCTACCTAGGAACTCAGCTTGTTAGTTCATGTTGTTAATACAATGAAGAAGAAAGCATATTTGAGTGGCACTCAGAAACCATTTGAGTCGAGGTTGAGCTATTTGTAGCATGCTACTCTTAATAAATAATTATCTTAGGAATGTCCTCAGGAGACCTTTTAATGTTATGTTATTTTTCGTTGACCAACTGTTTTAGGATTAGGAGATGAAATAGCCTATTGTTTGAGGATCGATCGTATGCCTTGAGCGGCTTTGTTCTGTGGAGCTATTGTTGGATCCAAGGTTTCACGCAAGTGGGATCATGCAGCAATAAGCAAATGTCGAGCAAACTAGACCAATCCGTGGAAAACAGGTCCACGCCGGAGAACTGGATCTGCTTGGTAGCACATTGGTGCACCACTGTGGCTCTGTAGTGGTGTAGTGGTGCACCTCTGTGGCTCCGTAGGGTCTGTTTGGTTGTCTGGACCATAGTGGCCCGTTAGGATAGCCAGAGCCAGGTTTTATTTGTGCAAAGAAGCCTGTTTGTTTTATTGACCTGTTGGCCCTAGCTGTGCAGATTCATGTTTGTTTGGCTGCAGCACCTGTCCCAACCATGAACTACCATAACTATCAATATGAGATCATGTTTGTTTCTCTGTATGGGCCTGGTGACTCATTCATTGGTCTGGCGGGTGTGTTCCCACCAAAACCGTATTCATTCAAGCATAAGTGCAAGCAAATACAGAAGAGGAACAAAGGGTGTTTAATACCTAACAGAGTTTACAAATTGTACTAAAAAATGTCTACATGTTAGAGGCCAAACGCACCTATTGGAGGCATTTAGGTTTGTTTCACCTTGCTTTAGTTGAAGGGGGGAGGAGATGGTAGTGAAGAGGCGAAAGCTGGTGATGGGGAAGCAGATCTAGAGTCGAAGAGCACCAAGCGCTCCAGCCACCAGCAGCTCGAAGAAGGGGAAGAAGAAGAAGCCCGCTTGAATGAGTGCAGGAGAGGGGGAAGGTGAAGAAGGCCCCACACCGCAAGCAAGGCGGAGCAGCAGAGAGGCCCCAACCACAGAGGTGACAACCTGCTTCAACCACACCGCCACCGGCTGCCAGTCGCTGCTTGAGAGAAGGGAGAGAGGAGGCGGAGTGAGTGAGGAAGCAAGACGGAGGCAGAAGAGGGAAGAGGAGACTGCAGCCGAATAAAAAGGGCTGCCAAGCCTAAATGCGCGGGGGAAATTTCTCCATGGCGCGTGAGCCCACTAGAGCCATCCGGCGTGGGGTGAAACGGCCCAGACGGGCACGGCGGTAGCCGAGCCCGGCAGAAATGAAAATGGATTTCATTTCCCTAGGGGCTGAGGGGCGATTTAAAGAACACACCAGCCGGGCCTGAGTAGGCGAGTGGTGACCAGGCAAACAAACAGGCCCCAGCTGCACCCCGCCGGCATGGTCCGAGGGCAGAGCTAGGGAGCAAGCAGGCCCGTACTGGCACTCGCGGACAGCAGTTAGAAGTTCGTGGAGGGAGGTCGTCAGAACTGGTTTTGTTTTAATCTTGGCAGCACAGCAAAATTCATTGAGGTCATAAGAATGGACACGGTTCTTTGCGCCTTCTGTAGCTCAGGCTAGTCCTAATAGATGATGTCGTACTCCAAAATCCAAGACTGTCTCGTAGGATACATGGTATGATACAGGTAAAGTTGGGATCAAATAAACTCTCTAGTTTATAGTATCACACTTCACACCCGATTACGGTATCATAGGACATTGTGTTTCTCTTTTTTATTCCAATGCCACATCAACAATTTGTTCTACGTAGCATATAGCAAATGAGTATAACACCATGTACTAATTCACTGCACTTGCTGCATGGAAAAGACTAATTCACCGGGCTTGCTAGATGGAAAAGACTCTAATAAAAATTTCATAAAAATAATATATTTTTTACATAATTTTATTATTTCGTCCTCGAATCAACTCGATAAAGTTTATACAGCAATGTGCAGAGTATCATCGTCAATAGAAGATAGATTGAATTTTGTCCATATAACAACTAGATGCTCATGCGACACGACTAGAGGTGGAACTTGGGCCGGGCCATGTCAGCAGGACACAGCACTCATGCGCTTCATGTCACTCTGGATTGTGGTCTCTAGGCATGCGAGGTATGTCGGGTCATGCCGATATAGCACGATAAGTCTTCGCGCATGCGTTTTTGTTGTCTCAGACCAAACACAACCCTCAAAATATCTTTGTTCTTTTCTTTGTCTACTCGTGAGTCGTTTCATATAAAAACTATATTTGGTATGTACCATTTTCATAAAAATGATTCTTATAATCCAATCAAGAATTAGACAAGAAGTAGTAAAAAAATTGTATCATAGTTTTGTAGATGTGCATATGTAGTTACTAGCAAATATGCCCGTGCGTTGTAACAGAAAAAAAAGTTACCAAATGTAATGGACGGGGATCCCGATCTTCCGTCAGGTGATGGTAACTATCGTTGTGGCGGAGAATGACACACCGATCCGGCTTCAGATCGAAAGATCGAACCCTGCAATCTTAGCACCACAGCTCCTCTGGTTATCAACCGAGTCACGGACCAGGTTGACCTCGCCAAGAAGGCTAATCCCTGCCTGCGCAACGAAGAACACAAGCAAGAACAAGAAGGATCGCAACCAAATTGCAAATGTATGATTAATCTCACGAGTTGGGGTCTCACAAACCGAAGAACGGCGAAACTGTTTCTTGACAGAATAATCTAAGCAAAACCTCAAACCCTAATGGAGGGGTGGCGGCTGTTTATGAAGACTCTAGGGTCGTGCAAGACCCCTGGACGCGCCCCTAATGGGCCCAAACTCGATACATGGTCCAACAGACCAAAAGATGGTGTCGCAGTACCCTGGCAGATTCTGGACGCTGACTTGTTTCGACGATTCCCGTTGATTCCGAACAGCTTTTGACGTGAAACCACTTGGATTGGCTTCCTTATCAAATTATCTTTCCATCCATATGTGGATCATCGAAAACGGAGTCCGGATGCGTCCTGGGCGTCCGTTTTATTGCAGACTGGTCCTGATGGCCGAGGCAGACTCGAACTCAGATTGGACTGTGCCTCTGGCTTGGCTTGGACGTCCTTGCTGGCCTCCTAAGGTGGTGTCCAAGGAGGAGGACGTCCAAGGGCTTTCTTGGTGGGTTCTCCAAGTCCTTGGGGTGTGCTCCCACTTGGGCCAGGGTCCCAAGGATGAATAACAAGCCCATAATGATAGTGTAGCTCCCAGCAGAAACAGCGATAGAATATATTGGCGATTTGGAGGCCTTGCCGATGTGATATTGAGATGGAACAAGATCTATTTGAAATCTTATCAAACAAGCTTTCCATAAAGTGCTCATTGACCTCGATCGCACTCCGGATGGATGAGTTATGGCCTTCCCAATGAGGCACTATCGGACTACCGACGAATCGAAAGTTCAACTTTGATGAACTTCCATTATGAAACACATTTGAACCTACAATTAAATAGTGACATGTACATGTGGAACCAAGTGAATTATAACCAAAGCCACTATGCAAATGTAGGAACGAGCGCACCTTATAATCATTGTTCGTATCCGAAGGTGCCATGTCCTCATCATCCTCCCCTTCTTGACAACAAACCGTCCTCGGTTTGGGATTAGATGAAGAAAACATTGTTGGTAGTAGCCAACATTGCTCCCCTTCTTGAAATTTAACATGTTTCTTTATAACAAAACTAGGAGAACTCGACATGACAAGATTATAGCAATTGCAATCCTTTGGTTGATCATACTTTTGCACAATATAAGGAGATTTCAGATTTGAACAAATATAGACACGATGCACCATATACTCTCCTTTACAATTATATTTTCCAATAAAATGATATGTATGTCTAGAGAACCATGGCAAATCAGCATATGCATAAAGTTTCTCCTCTAAAGAACTAAGATTACACGGAACATCAAATTCAATGTAACCCAAAGTATTTAAAGAAGACAACAATTTCAGCTCATCACCTTCACTAGCATTATGAATAACAAGTCTATTTTCAGCACAAGTGCTTATTTTCAGCACACATATAGCGTGATCATTCTTCAATGATTGCATGGGTATAACATAAATATCATCATGCAAGTCATCTTCGTCATAAGAAACATCAAGCAAATCATCTTGTGACAAAGGTAAATCAAGCGAATGCTCCACTAAAATTTGTTCTATCATAGCATGATTGGTGGAAAAATTCAGCACATCAAGAGAACTCTCACCTTCTGTGAGTTTAGCATCAAGGGCATTACCTTTGCTCTCATGTTCAGCAGGGGTAATAGTTGATGGTTCTGAATTTTCACATGAGGCTGTGAGCTTCTCATTTTCTGTCACGTCATCCTTGCTCTTTTCTACATTGTCCTCGCAAAAGGTTAGGCATAGTAGGAGGAATAACAATGAGACTCTTCCTCTAAATGGTGCACCTCATCATATGAAGTCAAAACAGGTGGTGTATTAACAAAGGTTTCTCGCATAAGAAGTTTCATATCATTCCAAGTTTGAGGCTTATCAGAAGGATCTAAAGACTCCCACCAAGATAAAGCAGAATGTCGCAAAACACTAACTGCATTTTTTACCTTTCTCCTTGGACACATAAAGTGAGTAGTAAATATGTTATCGATGGCAATTTCCCACCCATGTACTCATCAAAGACATATACCATCATAAGTCGGTGGATACTGAACAACCTGTCATTGTAAACACAAAAACAAGGAACAAACATTGAAGGTTATCCCTAATAATCCTACTACGCAGGTGGAGTGGTGCTGCCTCTCAAGATCACACAGAAAAGGAAACACCTTATCAAGCTCTTACAAGGTTCTTACCAACACAAAGCGATGGGCGGTACAACCCGGTGGCTGGTACGTGATACCGTGAGGGTGTGACA